CATAAAAACCGGTAACATTGCATGTTATGCATGTGCATATTGCAGGATGCAATTATTTATGGGTTTATGTAATTTTGCGTAGGCCTGGTTGATGAAATTGAAACAGAATTTACTGTCTAATTAATAAGTCGACTTACAGACCGACCATTGAAAGTCTCTATAAGTACTTGATATTTATTGGACGATCGCGCAATCGCATTTGGAAATTTTGAAAAATTCTCAATTTATTGTGATTGCTTGGATAATTTATTATTTTGTCAGATGCGCGCAGATAGAGTTTGTAATAAAATAATAATTTCGAATGGTTACAAAGTAGGCAAGTAAATTGTCGTTTCAAAAACAAAATCCTCCGTTGCTTTGTTGTATGTTTGTCGTGTGTCGTCGTTTAAGTTGAATTGGAGAAACATTTATCGACGATTTACCGTTCAAAGTCGATTGGCCAATACGTTTTTATAACACAATAAGCCTGCAAACGAAGAAACGTCATCATGTTTGACAGGCAGTAATTGAAATGGAGGCGCGCAACGTTAATCTATTTTCAGGAAAAAATGTTTACTGCTTCAAACCTTGATTTATCTGACTCTTATATTATTCTAGAATGGAAGAAATTACTTAGAATGGCTTGTAACAATAATTGGTCAATACTGTAACAATTACAATGTTGGCCAAGTTCTTCTTAATAATTAGAATAATTAAGAGGTAAGGTGTATAAAACTATAAGACAATCTCTAAAACATTCGCATTTCGCACCATAACTGTATTGATACGCAAGAGAAGTGAATGTTTGTTTTAATTGTATAATACACTAACATCTTATAATACAAATTTATTTGAAATTAAAAATTGTTAAGCCACTCGACCGACTACCTATGAATCAGTTATGATACTGATCACAGTAATGGTAACAATAATAACGGTTTTTTGTATATTTAAAAATCTACAAATTGTAGAAATTATTAACACGTGTTCATTATTTAAGTTAAAAATTAATTAGTCATGGCAAACTTTTAACACTTTCTTATAAAAAACTTAATTAAAATAGCAACTGCTAAAAAACGCACATACCTGTATACTGATCATAATTAAGTCAACTATCATACTTTTTAACATAACACATGTATTAATATTAAAATTGTTCAACTTGTTTATTAATAGTCTGTATTAATAGTTGACCATTTTTTTTGTCATAGATATTTGACTCAAATAAATTTTGATTTTGTAATTCTTCTTGTTTTTTTTTTTTTTTACAAACCCGTTATAACTAATTTCTAAAATCAAAACATTAAGCGTTCTATAATGGTTAACATTTCTTTTACGCAATAGAAAAAAAGTTTTTGTTTAAATTATCTCTCAACTGAGTAGGCAAAACAGTATTATAGCCGGTGTTTAATTGTAAATTTTCAAAAGTAAAAGTCACGAGAAGTCAGCTAATGTCACATAAAGACATGGGGTATGCGGGCGAACTCTACTACACAATAATAATCCAGTATATGACAGACTAAGCAAAATATAGGTAAGTCAATAATATGAATGTTAAATTCGACTCGTGCGTAAATGGGCGCTGAAAAATAAATAATAAACACTGTAAAAAAAAAATATCAAACAATCGTGTCTTGGTGTCATGTCAGTCAATGTGTTGAGTATTAAGGAAGGAAACGAATTTGGCGTCTACTTTCATATTAGGACTTGCAACAGCTGTAGGCCTAAAAAATCAACACGTGCTTTTACATTGTATAGTATTATATTATTATGCATTTTCAATCGGTTCAAAGGGCATCGTTTAGCGGCATTAACATAGAGATAGCTAGCGCATTGTGTTCCTGATGTGTGTATGTATGTATATATGAATTATGCAATATTCTGTCTTCTGATATCTACTGTCGTTTTCTGTGGATAACTGTTTGTATTGTAAATTGCAATTATTACTTCAACGTGTGTTCGTACTTTGCAAAAGAATATATTATTGTGTAATTATAATTTGTAATTTACGAGTTCATTGTAAAGTTAACAGTTTCACTTTATTTTGGAAATTGTACTAAAAAAAAAAAAAATGTATAAAACGTTGACAGTTTGTTTAATAATTTACATGCAGGTCTCAACACAATCGCTGTTTCATAATAGTTTATGTCTCAATCAAGTTAATTTCAATAATGTATGGGTCTTGTTTCAAAGATTACACGTTGCCTTGTAATAGGGTGTATATCCTTACGATAGATTTGCACGATAAAGTGCATAGCGTTTAATATGCATTTATTAAGATGAGACCAAAGTTAGCGATTGGCTATACCTCGTTATCACCTACCATATTTGTTGAACCCAAGACTCTTATTTAAAGTATTGAGATAAGTTTTTTCATGAAATTTATGATTTGTTTCGATTTTAAATAAGTTTATGGAGCCATTGGCAATTATAAATTATAACTAAAACAATCGTTTGTTCACAGTTCTAATTAAAATCAAATATTTTATAAGTTAGTCATTGTTAGTACACCAATACAATGTACTGTACGTCTTTTAAAATTATTTTTATTAAGTATTTAATAGCACTTACATTATAGCACATTGATCGATTAAGCAACCAAAATATGTGTCTTTGTGTAATATTATTTTATTGATTTCAATAAACCAGAATTATTCTGGTTTAAAATGTTTTATATTTTTTTTAACAAACCTAGTTGTATTTAATTAGTCAATACCGTCAGTATAATCGGTCACTGCACTGTTGATACACTTTATCTTGCTCTTTTCAATTACATACATTATTACTCATAGTGTTGTACATTATTCGAATAAAACGTTATTCGAATCATTTAAAAAAAAAAATTATTTAAATAGTTTGTTTGTGCTTTTTTCAAGTACCTAATTATATAAAAAAAAATTATTTCGTATAAATCTAATATATACTATATTTATAAATGATATAAAGCCAGTATATATAGGAAGTATATAAAAGTATAAGGGTGGCTAAATATTTCTCTAGACAGTTGGCTCATCCATCAGAGTAAAAAACCCACAGCGCAGATTCGACAGTTAATACGAGTAATAAGTACCCAACAACACTGTCACATCCTATTCCACTCAGCACTCGGTCAAGTAAATTTTCCAACTCTAATAATACATTTATTAGCTTCGGTGCGGAACTGAGAAGGTATTGTATTTACGCAATGATGTGTTTTTATTTTTTTTTTTTGTGTCTGAACCCACGATATCTCGTAAACCGCTGAACCGATTTCTTCATGTAGCAATCTACAGATCAGAAATCATACCTGGAAGGTACTATCGATAAACATTAACAAACCAAAAAAATATCATAAACCTTTTCCCTTAGAAGGGATAGCATTTTTTTCTTCATTTCACTTTTTCAAGCAAAGTTTTAGAGATTTAGATCTGAAAATTAGACCAAAGGTAGATCTAAAATGTAACTATAACATATACAATTTTCTCAAAAATCTGTAGTCAATTTTTTTTTTATTAAGGAAAAACCCCAAAAATAGGGTAAATTTACACTTTGGCCGTAGTCAGTTTCTAGGTTGCTATGTGTGTGTGAATCAACAGTCAACAGGTAATGACATTTTTTCATTATATTGTTAATTATAATAAATGGGTAACTATGACAGTACATTTTTATAGACAGACGATCAACCCTTATCGTATCCACCCTGCACAAGACTAAATATTAAATTTTAAGTACATTTTTGCTGGTCTCACGATATCTTCTAAGCCGCTATAACTGGTTTGAACATACTATCCACAGATTCGCATCGAAGCGTTTATTTAAAAGTGATTCATCACTTTCAGTTATAATAAAATCTGTAGACCTGTGACCTCTTCGTCCCCACTATGCCCCGACCCCACTGTACTGGCTTTTTTTAATTTTTAGGTTGCCATGTGTGAGTGAACCAACAGTCAACCCTAATCTTATCCACCCTAAAAACTAATACTAGAAATACACATTTAAGCACATTATTGTCATTAGGTACAATGGTTTTATTGATATTTGTATTTCTACCGTAACAGATTCGCATCGGAGTATTTATTTCAAAGTGATAAAATCGATTTCAGTTGTGATAAATCATATAGATCACTGATCTACCCCGACTCCATATGCTCTGTCCTTACTGTACTGTTTGTTGTATTACACTATCAATTCTTTAAAATTCTTTTGCATTATTTGAGTAATTGTAATTTACATATAATTCAAGAAATTACATTTTCAATTATTAAAATTGTATCAAACTTTTAAAAACTGTTCGCAAGACGTTTTACCAAATAAGACCTTTTGTTATTTAATATTGTACAACGACAATTGTACGTGGACAATACCGGTTAAAAAATTTACTGTAGGTAGATAGTTATTTTATTCACATAATATTTACACTTCGTTTAGATGCTTTTTAATATCTAATTAATGTTATTTACAGAATCGCTAGACGAATGGACACAAAGATAGAAAAACGAATGCAAAAACATTCAAGAAAGTGACAACCTAGTGCAAGATTTATGTCAGATTTAACTTCAGAAATTTCAGTTAAACAATTTTTAAAAATGATTATATCATTTAAGTTCGAGAGGCCATCGTTAAATTTCAAAACGGTTTGTAGACACAATGATATACACATACTTTTGTAAACCAATATTGACTATTTTAATTTCCTTATTAGAAAGAACGCATTTTTTTCAAATTCAATTCGTTCATACATATTTTATTGTTTTTTTTTCGTTAGTTACTTTTTTTTTTGTTAACTCCTATTTTGAAATTGTATTAACTATTTTTTTGTTTTTCATATTATACATTTAATATTTCGAGTCATTTTTTTTATACAATACGAATTTTATGTATATACAATTTTGGTAATTAATTCCCGAAATTTATTATTTTAGTTGTACGGATTTTTTTTCTCATATTTCTATATAATGTTTTTTTAAGTGAAAGTAAAAACATACTGCGGCGGCCGCCACCAACTCCGTGTGTGTGTGTTTGCCGTGGCCGCGTGAAGGCATCCCGTCAGTCGCGCGCCGGACAATCGCCGTCATACACAAACATTATCCACTGCGCCGCATCCACTTATCAACGATCCGGCACCGTGTGTTATCGTGCGCCGATAACGGACTCCCGAATAATAAATCAAATAAATACATTCGCCGCCATTTATATGTCACCACTACGACGGGCAATTATACTTTTGGGCGTTTAATTTTCGAGTGTTAAAAAACCACGGACGGTTTTTTTTTTTTTTTTAACCGCGATCGATTCCTTATTTTTATATCTCACGCAGTGTATCGTTAACAAAAAAAAATAAAAAAACCGTTAAATATTGTTTGCATTTTTTGTATTATGAGTGCCGTTTTGGGCGACTCGTCGTGAGATCATCACCCGGGTAAACGATGAACGCGATAATGACCATTCTGTGGGCCGCGTGTGTCCTGTCGTCCCTGCTGCCGGCTCCGACGTCCGGTTACAGGGCGGTCCGCACTTCCGGGCCGTCCGGCCCGTTACCGGTAACCGTACACGTTCGGGCTGCCGGCTCTATGGGTTCAGCCGCCGCGGCCAACAGGACAGCGGCCGCAGCCGCCGCCGCCGCCGCCACTGCCTCCACCGTGATCACGCCGCTACAGGCCGCTTCGGCCACAATGTTCTCGACCACGAGTTCGGCGTCCAACCAGACAAGGAATCAAACTAGATCCGAAAGGCTAAGAGCCAGGTAAGTGATCAAAACCATTTTTTTTGTCATAGGTGACCAACGATTACCACAGGGATTTGATAAGAATATATTCACTTCATCCCTATCGTGGTCGGTTTTTATATTGGTTTAAACGAGGTTATACAAAAATAAGGAATGGCTCGGGAGTCTGTGATCGTTGGATAAGTTCAGTGTCATCGAGTCGTATGAAGGACATTCTTCCTCTTGTACCATTCATATGTATAGTATACAATTCATATATTTTACAATTTCAGTCTATATATTTGGTGTTTAGGCTACCCTCCTACTTATGAAGGACTGGTACAGGCGATTTTTCACAAAATCTTAATTTAGAGCTTAAATCTATGGGGGCTTAGGCCAATTTTTGATTAAGAAAATAAGTTTAGATTTATTAGGAAAAACTTAAAACAAGTAAAAATATAAACGCTTATAATAAAATAAAAAAAATAAAAAATCGGCTTTTTCTCTAATCAGTAAAATGTTATAGTAAATGGACCAATTGAAAAACTAGTATATTTTAAATTATATTGAAAAATTGTTTTTGTATTTTAAAAAATATAATCGATCGTGACTATATGATAATATGATGTAGAATACTAGAATGAATAATACATAATAAATGTAGGTAGTCATCAGACATTTGCTGCCTCCACTATAACTACTCCCCTAGTTAGGTTCTAATTTTATGATATTATTAATACTCTATTATAGCATGAATTTACTCTGACGCATACTGTATGATGACATTTTGAAGATCCCTCTTTTGACGGTTTTAAAAGGGTTTGTTCTGAAAATTAAATTCAATGTTTAAAAATTAAATGCCGCCCTCGTAGTAGTGAAATATATTTTACTATTACTATAGATCAGTTTATACCTAAAAGTATTTCACACTTAAAATAATTTGCATATTTTTTTATCCTTGAAGTATCATTAGTTTTTGGCAAAATTGTGTATTTATTAGTGCTTATGATTTTAAACGTGTAATTTGAATACACGTGTACACGAACCCCGTGTAATTAACATACACGTGTAATTATAAATACACGTGTATTTAAAAAAAAATTTAGTTTGAGTTAACGTATTTACACAATTATACTTGTGTTTGACTTCGTATGATTAAATAGACGTGATATTAAACGTGAAACTAAAATTAATAACAAAAATAATTTTTTTTGAATACACGTGTATTTATAATTACACGTGTATGTTAATTACACGGGTTTCACGTGTAATCGAATACACGTGTAATAGGGACCTCTAGTATTTACCCATAAAATGCTAATGTAACTCGGTGAGACCTGAGTGATGATTAGAAATTGCATAGAGAGTTTATATTGGTTTTTTATGACAAATATCATGCCAATATAGTCAATAGAAGGTATTATTTTCTACTATAGCCTGATCTGTGTTTCACCGGTATAAAATCCATCTTCACACAACTTCTATTAGAAATTTGAGTTTGTTAGATTTGAAGAGATCAAAACAGATGTATTTAAGTTTTAACTGGAAATCATAATTAAAAATATTGACGGACATGATAAACAGAAATTTTGTTTTATTTTGATTGGACAAGAATTTATGAACAAACCGAAAACTAAATACTAAGTACAAATCCCATCGCCCATAATGGACAAATTATTAAGTAGTATTTTTTCAAGTATACCTGAATCATTTCATTACAGGGTCAAAAACAAAGAAAATTTACTTCTTCATCAACATTATATCAATTAGTTTAACAAGTTGATTTGTTTTTCTGTGCAATTTTGTTTTTCAATTACTTCCGTAAAATCTCTATATTTTGCAAGTTTTTTTTATTTCGCTTTCAAATTGGTTATTACCTTGTCACACTTGTCTGACCCGTTTTTAACGATTTTACAAAACTATTACGTTCGGTCGTAATAGAGTTTTATATAAAAAAAATACTATTGTTTTGGAGTTTTTATTGTATTTGTGCCATTGAAAGTGTAAATTAATTGTATGGAACTTGTTGTGCTCGTTTATTTTGTGCGAAAACGAGAGTAGTTTATTTTTGTCGAGGAAGAGGTTATAAAAAGAATTTGAACTTTAAATTAATTTTTCCAGCCAACTGGTCTTGCGATAATTATACAGGGTGATTCAGAAAAGATGGACCATACGGTTGATGTACTATTTACACGGTAGAATTAAACGCGTCGAACAATACAGTTTCATAACACAAGGATGAAATGGAATTTACTTTTGGACTTCCGAACTTAGTAGATGTATAGGTATATTATGTATCACTCAAGCCTAAGCATACGAGTGTAAACAAACATCATGTTGTGTCACGTAATAATATACTTACTGAGAGCGTGGCGAAATCCAGAAGAAAATTCGATTACATTTATTATGAAATTATAAAAAAAAAAAATTGTTCTTATTAGCGCGTATCCTTTATATACAGTTTAGAAAATATAAGTTTGTTGTGTACGCTTAATGGTACACCAGATACGGAGGTAGACACATTAATAATTATTTAGCGGATTTCAATAGGCTTAATGTGTATACATATATGATATATTGTAATTAAAAATGTAATTCCATTATGCCGCGCCGGGCATTACCTAATAGGCGATATTTGACATTTCATTATCAACCTTTAAGCCCGGAATTGGTTTTTTGAAAACTGGTCTTGCACACGTATGTAGGATATAATGTTGTTTTTATTCCGTTTGTGTCAATTCAACACATGCCATTCCAATATTGTACTAGCGCCGTAACGGAATAACAAATAAGTGTATAATAAAATTATTTTTATTGTAAAAGAAAAAAAAAATATTGAAGACTAACTAAGTGTTCCTAACGCGGAATTCCCGAGGTCTTAACGAACCTACCGTGTGCGTGGAATTACTGTACGCCTAATAGTATGCGCGTGCATCGAGATAAGAGTAGACAGACGACTGCTAATGGTGGTTGTGGCTTAAGCTCCTCATTTTAATGCCACAGGTCTACTGAAACGGATATTGGCTCCCCGTCCCGGTGTCTAGAACGCCCGAGACGGTTCCAGAATAAATCCCGGATTTATTTATGTAGGTTATATGATCATGACGATCCTTGGATTTTGCCTGCTTTTACTCGGCCCTCGAACATTCCTGTATTTTCTGTATTCATTCCTGTGCATTCCTGCGTTTGATCGAATTCGTGGATTCTTTAAGTTCTGCGTTTAAGTTTGGCCCCGTCGTTAGCCGTTATAATGGACGTAGAAACAAAACATTTTCTATCATTTTTTGAAAAATTGTAATAGATTTAATAGGGGTTGCTACCATTTTTACCAAATTCGGAATTCCTATTGATAACTGATAAGGATGGCAGGTCTTCGAGTGTTTTGGCACTCGCTCGCTACGCTCACTCGGCGCCGTGGTTTACCTACTCGTGAAACCTTTTTCGACGGGAGCCGTTTGGGAAAAAACAAACAATGGATGGGAGCTGTTTGGGTTGCACCGGTTATAATGGCCCCTCCATAATCAAAAATAATCTTTGTGGAAACCCTTTTCCATAATAGCATAATTATTGTAGATAACTGTTTGTTTAAAGGGAGAATTTTTGAATTTTTTCGCTGCTTTAATACTGCTTTCAATTTCCCCTTTAAAGCTTCAGATTTAGGCTTGAAATCATTTAAATTGTAAATTTCGAAAAGGGCCCATCTCGAGTTTTGATTTTCCCGTGTTTTTTTAATTTACACAAATAGACCGATATTTTATGAGCGAAAAGAGCCCAAATCTGTTTTCTATTGTGATGAAAAAAACATCCTATTTTTTGAAAAATTAATATTAATATTAAAAAGAAAATCAGTTTTTTGAGTTTCCTGGAAAATTTTAATTTTTTGATATGAGCCCTTTTCGAAATTCCCAATTCATTTGTAGACACAACTAAACTACTTATAGGCTTGGGACTTTAAAATATTACAACTAATAACTAAAAATTGAACCTAACTAGTAGCTTACTGATTAAAAAAAATCAATCTTGCACAAATTGACAACATTGAGCCGTGTCCGGTGGGGGGGGGGGGCGGGGGAGGAGTGTCGCGTGACAAATAGACACTATAACTGTACAATGTATATACTTATGAGTTATGACATAACATAAGATTCAATTAGATACTAAAAAGAGAAAATGCAAACAATTTGCTTCATCGCCCATGTAGGGGTCTTAATTCGCGCTTACGCCGTTTGTTTGACCCGAGGTCGCAAATATCGGTGCCTATACTCTATCTCACGTGAGAACCGTTCTGCGCAGAAACCATAACTCATTACTACCGTGTGCACTTGTGCAGACAGGAGTGACGCGCTTTTGTTTCTGCGCAGTACCGTTCTCTCGTGATACAGAGTATATTATATGTCCATACTTTGATAGCGGTAATTACCCGTTTCTAAAGTAGTTAAAAAACAATGACGTGAACCCGGTCGAATCGATCCGCACGAGTGCACGACACGACGCCTTATGTAGATCATATTGTACGGTTTGGATTTCTTCAACGAGCATGCGCCTATGTATACAATATTAACGTTCGCGTTGACAATATAACGGTCTTATTAGCGATTTGTTAAAATTGGCGGATAGGATATTTCGAAAATAGGTTTCAAAATGATTCTCTGACAAAATACAAATATATATCTAGATCCTTTCACGTTTCACTGTAATCTAATATTACTATGGGTGGCTGCGATTGTCGTTTCCTTCTCGTTTAAAATCGCCGACGTACCTATTTGTTAATTATGGTACGCCCACCGGTCAGATTGCTCAAGTACGTTTCCTTAATTAGGTACCCGACAACGCTGACCGAGCTTTTAAACAAAACGTTTTCGTTCGAATGTCGAATAGAAGCCCCAATTTTTTTTTATGAACTAACAGATGCTATTGCGACTTCCGCGTTTCACTTAGTTTAACTCAAAAGCAAACCTTAGATGTTTCCACAAGTTACTCGGCAGAGCAACTGCAACAACTAACAACAAACTAAGTCTACGATATGGCGATTTTAATTC